TACAACTAATACGATAGAATTATTTAATGGTCTAGTGGGACCCTAAAATTACAAATATATTACTAAAAATACACCCAATTCGTATGAAACTCATCGGCTTAAGTAGTACCGATTTAAAGCGTTGTGGGGTGTGATTTCACTTACCCACACGTAACCGTACTCCCGAACCCATATCACTTAACTACCGACCATATCTCGGTTCTGAACCTAAGATTAGAGCCGGTTCGAAGAGTGTTCGATCCACTCCAAATAAGATCGATGGAGACTCCAAAAAGCGAACCCAACGAACCCCGGAGGGACGGATGCGACAGATAACACATTGACTATTTAGGGGCCTCTGCGAATGATCTAAATATCAAGCATCTACTTTATTCATGCATGAGAGGTATTTCACTTCCCTTCATGCACACATAAGATAGATGGATACCACAAAGGTTGGGTTTTCATGCAAACTTTTCTTTTTTTCCTTTTTTTCAAAACGGGTTTCCATGCCACATATGATGATATTATAAGCAATGAATATAGTAGCACATGATAGATGATATATGCATCATATAGTAAAATAATGAAACACATAAAGCATCGAATGGTATAAGCATCTCATACACAAAGCATCAAATGATATAAGCATCCAATGATAAAGGCATCTAATGACCAAAATAATTTATTAATTATAGAAATTTTATATGCATGAAGCATCAAAGAATTCCCATATCTAAACAATGATTGAGCCAGTTGGACATTAAAGAAGTTGATGACACAATCATTGCTGATGAAGGCATCTCCATGAAGCTTTGTAGAATTTCTCCTCTCCAATCGAAGCTAACTTGTGCCAGCTAAGGCAGCGTGCGTGTGAAAGTTGTGTAAAAAAGATAAAAGATAAAGCCTAAGCCTCTATTTATAGTACATCACCAAAGGGATTTTCTAGGATTTTCCACCTAAAAGTTGGCCAAGAGAGTCTTGGTACCACTGGGACACTAATTCCTTGACTTGTACGGATATTCTTGAAGATTCCATGAGCGAGGACCTCCTACGACCCAGTGGTGGTCGCCACTGTCGTAGATTCCTTCCTCCAATTGGACTCATTTTTTGTGAACAACTTCAACTTGGGCTTATTGAATAGCCCTCAAATTTAAGCTCATTTGCTCTTTGTTAGGCCAGTCAGCTTTTATAAATATGATTCTATAGGTTATCATAGAAGCAGTTGATGTCCAAATATCTTGTCCTCTTTCTCATCCATTGATGATCCTTATTTCTCTTGAGTGTTTTATATCCTTGAAATGCACAAAATAACATTAAAAGGAGTAAAATAGTACAAAACACACTGAAGGTCCATCTTAGGCACGTTGATCAAATATTTATGATATCTATATGAAGCATAACAAAATATACTAAAGATGCATTTCTAAAAGTGAAAAATGTATAAAATATGGGAGTGATAAAAACTATAATTTGAGTGTCATAAGTTGGGTCACCAGATCCTCAGTTTGGCACATTGGTTAGTCCAAGCCTATGTTGTAAATGCTCTCCCATTAGATGTGGCGCCTAAGCTAAGAGTGTGAAAGGACCTTCCTAGTATTGAACACTTGAATTTCCTATCAAATATTACAGGCCTGGACGGGGTCTTTCAATCACTTGAACACAAAAAGAAGAAATGTGAGAAATGAGGTAAGAGTGAGAGTATAGCCCAACCCCATCGTTGATGACTGTCGTGTTGAATATACGTGGCTTTAACAGTCATGCAAAGAAAAAAGTGGCGCTTGATTATGGAGGTAGACACACGGTGTTAGTTGGTGGATTGTTGGAGACTCATGTTGAGAGTAGAAATTCTTTGGAGTCCTTGATAATTTTTATGATTATACAATAAACTAAAATTATGCTACTACTCATTGAGAAGAGTTTTGATGTTCAAGAGTTATGAAGTGTCACTTAGAGTACTAAAATCAGGGGTGAACATTATTCACTCTTTGGTTTTAGAGGAATGGCGTGAATTTCTTCTTTACTACAGTTAATGGGTTGAATGATGAGAAAAAATGAGATATTTTGTATGTTAAAATGAGTAGATAAATAGTATGGGGGATCCCATGGCTAGTGACATTTATTTCAGTGGCATCTTATATCCAAATGAGGCTCTAATACTTCTGATCTTTCTAGTAGTATGGTTTGTTTCCAGGATTAGGTACGAGTATGGAACTGGTTGATTGATCAAATGTCCCTTACTTCACTTCGTCTAATAAGTAGTCGACAGATCTTATTGCTAGAAAAATTAACATGGTGTTGCTAAATGCTTATTGGCTTTGTAGATATAAGAGTTATGCAATGGACCTCCTGAAACTGAACTTCTCTAATCATTATGGTTGATTCAACCTACTACCCCTCTTCATTCTATACCCAATCCCTTTTATTGTTTTTATATGTGTGTTCAACATCCTTAGTATTTTTATATTCTTCAGATGGCTTGCGATACAAAAGTTAGGGGGTCTTGACACTTTAGTCTCCAATTCAGACAACTGTTAGAAAAATGCAGGTTCAAAACAGCTTAACTATAATTGTTTCTTGGATATTAGCGGAGGGTAAAGGAGTGTGAGAAGCCCCGAAGGATCTCAATTGGACTCTCTTGCTGATCCTTCAGAATTCACCTTTGGAGATGAGTAGCTTATTCTTCGTGAGTATCTTTTATTAAAGCAGGCGAAGGAAAGCTTAAAAAACAAATCTCAAGTCCAATGGTTTACTTTGGGTGATGAAAACTTTACATTCTTTCACCAGTATATGAAGATGAGGCAAACAAAAAACATGATATGTAGGTTGTATCTTGAGTCTTGAAAGTTGTAACTTATATTGACGAGGTGGTTGATGCATTTGCGAAGTTCTATTGCAATCTTCATGGTGAAGATAACCCTGACATTTCCAACGATTATTTCTTGCTTGGGGTATTAATTTTGAAAAAGGTTTCTCATGAGGATAATGTTGCACCATGCTTGCCCGTGTTTGCCGAGGAGGTAAAGGTAGCTATTTTCTCTATAAAACCCGTGAAGGCTCCTGTCCCGAATGGCTAGACAACATGATTTCACTTGAAACTGTGGGTTATGGCAGGAGCAGATGTCGTTGTTTGAGTTCAAGAATTTTTTTGTATTGGGATGCTTACAAAAGGTATTAACCCTACTTTCCTTACCTTAGTTTTGAAAATTCCTAATGTGATTAAGCTCACGGATTATCAACCCGCTCTTACATATATGTTTTAAAAAAAATCATTTTCAAGATTCTTCCTTCTTTGCTTCGGAGGGCTCTACATTTTGTTATTAGTCATAATCAATCATTTTTTAAAAGAAGATGAATATTGCTCAAAATATTCTTACGGATCAATAAATCGTTTTTAAATAAGGTCGTAAAAAATTAGCTCTAGGTGTGCGATTAAGGTTGGTTGATGAAATCTTTGATTTCGTAGATTTCAGTTTTTGGTTTGTGTTATTGAGGTGATGAGGTTTCCATCTTAGTTGGTTCTTTGGTAAAAGCTGTATTTTGTCATCCTATTTTTTTATTAGTGTGAATGGAGTCTATTTGGTAGTTTCAAAGCTAAATGGAATTCTCTTTCCCATACACTTTTACCCTAACTATTGAGATTCATGTTACTTTGTTGGATAAGGAGACTAGTATTTATTTATTGATGTATCATCTGCAATGAGAACAAGTTGGGCTAATGCATCTTATTTCAGGAGGGGATGTTGCATGTCTATTATTTGGGATTGCCCCTCTAGTTGGGAAAATTCTAACCAATACTATGAGCTTCTCTTTCATATGATTACAAGCAGAATGAGATCTCGGAGGCTTGCAAGCTCTCTTATGCAGAGAAGATAGAGCTAGTGAAACACCCTAGTCCGGCCGGACACTACTTTTACCAAAATACCCTTGATAAAGCGTAAATCAAAATTTGAACAAAAAAGAGACTTGGAAAAAAAATAACGGAAACCTTTCATAATTAACTTTCATCATATTAAAATTAAACTGACATCTCTTAAAACAAAGCCCTAACACTTGGCCAAACCTCAAACACAAAACTCTTAATCTGAATCTCCAGTAACTACACATAATCGTAAAGCAATAACTAAAACTCTACTTTGTTGTTTGCTCGGATTCGATCTCTGGCACCTTCAGTGACACTTGTACTATCCTCCCCTAGCCGGCTTGCCTCGAGCGACTCTCTCGATCTCGCCGCTCCCTAACTGCTCTTCTAGCTAGCTGTTATCGATCTGGTTCTCACTCATTCCTTTACTAAGGCCTGGTGAGTGAGATGGGGTCAATCTACGCCCTTACATTTAAAATGTCTTATACTTGAGTACTTTGCTTAAACACTTAACTTTAATTGGTGGAAGTTGTTTGTACTTCCAATCTTAAAATCTTCAACTCTTATACTTTGAGGGAGTTGAAGTTACTCTCCTCTCTTAAAGCTCAAATCTCGACTTAAATATTTGTCTGACACTGGGGATCCCTCACTAGCTAGTCCGGTTGCCAAATCATACGTATGAGAGCCCATCTAGGCTTTTCTTAAGGCTTAATTGCAAGTTTGGTCACTCGAATTGCTATAAAATTTCACGTTTGCCACTCAAATTAATTTATTCCATTTATAGTCACTCGAATTAGTTGAACAGTTCAAGTTCGGTCACTCTCCGTTAACCTCCGTTAACTTTGACTGACGTGGCGGTCAACTCTGACAGTTGACCGTTAAATGTGTGACGTGACAAATAAAAAATAATTAAAAAATAAAAATTAAATTTTTAGAAATTACACATCATTATAAAAAAAATTATAATTATAAAAAATGAAAAAAAGAAATTATCACAAAAAAAAAATTAATTTATTCTTAATTGCGAATCATATTTTAATTATCATCTCAGATGGTGGTTCTACAGGCGGAGCTGGAGCGGGTGAAAGTGGAGAATCTCCGGCTGAGAGACATGCTGAATTAAGTCAACAACAACTACAGCGCGCTGCAGGTGCACGTAATGTCGCTGATGCACGATCAGAAGCCGTCGCCGCTTCCGCCGCCGGCGGACGAGCAGGACAACAACGGTGGAGGAGCGGTGGTGGTCCCCCGGCAGTTCATGGATCTCGGACTAGCGAATTCCTCCGCTGCGGCTGGTGGCGGTACGATCGGCGACACAGATGAATTGTCGTTGTCATCATCGGAACGGGACCGGTCGAGGTCGCCGGCTGCGGATGAAGGATCGACGATGATGGCGGCGGCGGCGTTCGAGGGAGAGAAGAAAGCGGCGGCGGCGGCGGCGAGGGAAGAAGAGAGTTCGGATCAAGGAGGATGGGGAGGAGGGAATAAGGTAGCGAGATTCAACAATTCGGCGAAGAGCGTTGATCAGACTGAAGCCACAATCAGAAAGGCTCGGGTGTCGGTTCGAGCTAGATCAGAGGCTCCAATGGTATGAAATTGATGATGATTATTTTTTGTATCAAAATTTTGAGTTGGAAGTCTGCTTAATCAATTAATTGGGTGTGGTTTGACTGAACTTTGGATGGCATTATTTAGATCACGGATGGGTGTCAATGGCGGAAGTATGGGCAGAAAATGGCCAAGGGCAGAAAACAACAATCAATAGTTCATTAACTTCAAAAATGTTATAACCCAACTTAATTAGGAAAATTATAATGAGATTTGGTTGATTAATTCAAAAACTGCAGGCTCCATGGATCTGTCCTGCAACAAGCCAGCTTAAGCGCCGGCTCAAGACAAGATTGGCAGGTCCAATACCACTCTTTTCGACCGTAAGCACTTGCTACAAACCTATTTCTGCAGAACTACAAAGCTTTTTTTCACATAAAGTGTACTCGCAATAAAGGTCCAATACCACGATGTGATAATTTCTTTTTTTGTGATAATTTCTTTTTTCATTTTTTATAATTATAATTTTTTTTATAATGATGTGTAATTTCTAAAAATTTAATTTTTATTTTTTAATTAATTTTTATTTGCCATGTCACACATTTAACGGTCAACTGTCAGAGTTGACCGCCACGTCAGTCAAAGTTAACGGAGGTTAACGGAGAGTGACCGAACTTGAACTGTTCAACTAATTCGAGTGACTATAAATGGAATAAATTAATTTGAGTGGCAAACGTGAAATTTTATAGCAATTCGAGTGACCAAACTTTCAATTAAGCCCTTTTCTTAAACTTAAACTTATCGTGGAAGGCTCTTCTTCCACGATTCTCAAGAGCATGATTGTTGCTCATTTGCTCATCTTAAAAGTCTCAAGAGCATAACTGATGCTCTATCTCAAAATCTCAAATGGCAACGGACTGGCGCCAGCGACTAAAAACTCTTAAAACGGTTTCACCTTCTTGAAGGCGAAGTACTTCTTAAAACAAAAGGACTTGTTCTTAACTTTGACAATCACTCATAAACGTAAAGCTTTAAAGCAAACAACACACATTCACTATAAACCACAACTCAAACAAGCACATATCATCAATCATGAGCATACAAGAGTTTACTTCTTTTACACTCACCTTATGTTGAAGCCGATTGATTTGAATCAACTACAAGGATCAATTTCCCTTCACTTGATCGTTGCTTGATTGCTCGGCCACAAGCCCACCATCACATCACAAGACCTACACAAACGTCCCACAAAGCATTCCACCAAAGTATTCCACCCCGCTGCAGTCTATCAATTTCCTAATGCCATGCAAAAAGTCCCACACTATAATTGATCCTTTCTTGATTAATGATCTTCAATTCTCGTCCACCATGCACTCACGATCCATGGACTTCCATTATGTCATTCCAAACCCTAATCTTGCAATTATCACTTCCTACGACAAACAGAGGTTGCGATCTGTGGAAATCAATCCCTTAAACCAGCTCACCATGCTCCCACAATGAATAATTATAATAACACGCACGCAATCAACCGGGCTAAAAAAGAGCTTCCCTACCTCGTGGTATCTATCTCCCTCCGGATTGACGCTGTTGTGACTATGCTTGCCACTTCCGTCCAATTATTCAGCGGTACATGGCTGTTTATCTAGGAACTGAGATTGGAATCTGGAAGGATTTGTTAAACATGGGAACTGGAGGTAAGGAATACAACTTTAGCGTTTTTATTTAGTTTGGCGTGAGGGTGAGGGGATGTGAGATTAGTGTTGGGGTTTAATTCATCCGGGGTTATTTTAAGAATTTCCTAATTACGGGACAGACGAGTTTAATCTGAAACTCAGTTAAAATGTCCATAACCTTCTAGCTTCATGTCGAAACTTGACACCATTTGAACTATTAGTTCACATTTCCTTAACGATAATACGGTGGAACTTGACCCAAGGGGGGTCCGGATCCCCTCAGTAACCATCAGTAACCAGCATATCAACCGTCCATTGCATTTAATTTGTAACCGTCAGATCAAGAAAAAGTAACTACACGCGGGGGGGGGGGGGGGGGGGGGGGGCAAAATAGTAATCTTTCCATCTGACAATTTGAAAAGCAGACGTGACATTAAACCGTGCCCGCCTTCTTTCCTTCTTTCTCTCACCTTTCACGCGACAGTTGCACTTCCCTCTGCTCTCTAACTCTCCATTCTTCATCCAATCACGCACCAAAAACTTCAGAAAACACAGAATCATTCAACGATTTTCGCAAAGGTTTTCGAAGAATCATTCAACGATTCACTGTTCTCGCTTCTTCGTTGAAAAACGAAGGGTTTCCAACTTCAACGAGGCTCAAAAATCGTTTTCGCACAAAATATCAAGGTAAAACCTCACTTCTTTCTTCGAAATCCATCCATAGAACAATAGAAACAGTATTTCAGTCACTCTTCATGTGAAAATTGTAGTAAAACTCACTACATTACCGAATCGTTAGCATGCGTTGCTGAACTGGTGTAGAATCGGTTGTGTTTTGCTTCGTTACCACATGGTATGGCGTGGTAAGCTATGATTGCACGTTATAAAAAGGCAAGAAACCGTAACTCCTTCTGTGTTTTAGTTTGTTACCATATGGTAATGTGTAGTAAGCTATTGTTTCATGTTGTAAAATAGCAAAAAAACATAAGTCCTTCTGTATTTTAGTTTGTTACCATATGGTAATGTGTGGTAAGCTATGGTTTCATGTTGTAAAATAGCAAAAAACCATAAGTTCTTCTGTGTTTTAGTTTGTTACCATATGGTAATGTGTGGTAAGCTATGGTTTCATGTTGTAAAATAGCAAAAAACCATAAGTTCTTCTGTGTTTTAGTTTGTTACCATATGGTAATGTGTGGTAAGCTATGGTTTCATGTTGTAAAATAGCAAAAAACCATAAGTACTTCAGTGTTTTAGTTTGTTACCATATGGTAATGTGTGGTAAGATATGGTTTCATGTTGTAAAATAGCAAAAAACCATAAGTCCTACTGTGTTTTAGTTAGTTACCATATGGTAATGTGTGGTAAGCTATGGTTTCATGTTGTAAAATAGCAAAAAAACATAAGTCCTTCTGTGTTTTAGTTCGTTACTATATGGTAATGTGTGGTAAGCTATGATTTCATGTTGTAAAATAGCAAAAAACCATAAGTACTTCTGTGTTTTAGTTTGTTACCATATGGTAATGTGTGGTAAGATATGGTTTCATGTTGTAAAAATGGAGGAAAACATAAGTCCTGTTGTGTTTTACTTCGTTACCATATGGTAAGATCTTATAAGACATGGTTTGATGTAATTACCATATGGTAAAATGTGATAAATATATGGTTTGATTACGTATGGTAGGAAACCATTATGGTACCATATGGTATATTATGGTAAAAAGCATACTAACAGACTATTACTAATTTCTACATTCAGGTACACTATGGTAAAACCAAGACAAAGTTTTCGCACAAAGTGCAGCCCAACAAGAATATCTGCAATTGCAAGGTCAATAACAGATGAGCGGAAAGAGTAACTTGAGATATTAGGCCTATCAGGCTTAATATCAATCAGGCAGACAAAGATAAACAATCATTTTGCTCTGTTCGTAATGAACAAATACAATCCAATGAAAGAATCGTTCAAGTTACCTGACGGGACACGCATGAATATATCACCAATCGACTTCCATAGAGTATATGGTCTGCCGATGGGGAATAGGGAAGTTGTACCTCCCACGATTTCTTGGGATGACGCAACAGATTATGCAATAGAAACCCTACTCGAAGTAGATGGAACATCCACTCCAAGGGTAAAGCTAAGTCAGGTAGAAAAAGATCTTCCTACAACCACACACAGTAAGAGATGGATGCAATTGTTCTTTCTGCTGGTCACCGGAGGCTTGCTGTGTCCAACTTCAGCACCTATGGCTGAACTCAACATGCTTGAGTACTTGAAGACTGAAGAACTGAAACATTTCACCAGCTACAACTGGTGCAAATACTTCTTCAAACACATGAATGAAGGATTGAAATCACCAAACCTCTATTTCAGTGCAGATCTTCACTTCCTTACAGTGAGTCTCCCATTCCCTTGGCCATTTCAACCTTGTTACTCATATATTTTACATATAAATGATAATCTTTGAAAAAACTAATACAACTATCTGCATAAAAAAGGTATGCTTCATGTACAAACTGGATGAAATGGCATTCTCAACCCAGCTTCGAACACCAATAGTAAGCTACTATGATGATCTCAATGTCGAAACAAACTTTGAGAACATTAAGAGCTACTACAATGGAAAAGAGTTGGCCGAGATCGAAAAGGTTGCCAACATTAATGATGATGAGGTTGATGATGCAACTGATGAGGAAGAGGAGAATGAGCCAGTCTATCAGTCACCGAAAAAACAAAGAAACAAAACTCCAGACCAGTCATCATCACTGAACTTTGATTTGAAGAATATCAGAACAGTCAACCAAGTAAGTACATATTATCTATATTACAGTTGTCCAAATACATGCCAACCGTAATTCCTTCTGTGTTTTAGTTGGTTACCATATGGTAAGGTGTGGTAAGCTATGGTTTCATATTATAAAAATGGAGGAAACCATAAATCCTGTTGTGTTTTAGTTTGTTACCATATTGTAATGTGTGGTAAGCTATGATTTCATGTTATAAAAATCGAGGAAAACATAAGTCATGTTGTGTTTTACTTCGTTACCATATGGTAGTGTGTGGTAAGCTATGGTTTCATGTTGTAAAAATGGAGGAAACCATAATTCTTGTTCTGTTTTACTTTGTTACCATGTGGTAAGATATGGTTTCATGTTATAAAAATGGAGAATTGTGATAATAATTACAAATACCATGTATTACCACCATGGTAACTAACCCATACACCATACACACTTTACCACCATGGTATCTTACAAAACTCCCATTATGCAGGCTGAGAATGCAATCAAACAGCTTGAAGCATCAATGAAGGCAATGATGAAAGCAATCAAAGACCAGTACACCAGCCAAATTGAGAATCTGATCAGACACAAGGAGAAACTTGAGAAAGAAAGCTGTGATGAATATGTTCAGCCCACAGAAGGAGAAAAATCTCAGTGTGAAGATGATGAAGAAGAGAATGATGAAGAAATGAATGCCAGTTTGGATAAAACAATCAATCAAATATTCAAACAGGCAAAGATAGACAAGAACAAAGAGGAGAACGA